AACACACTATGATAATATATGCATTGTCCTTGAAACTGATTGGTCCACACCAAGGGACGGCTTTCTTTTGAGCCTCGACCCAATTGGTGCTCGACCAGAGGACGCCTTGTAAAAAGGTTTCAGTTTTGTTGCCAGAAAAAAGGGGAAAACCCCTATTATTATATTTTGGTACAGGCAAAGGAGGTCTAATGGTGTACGTCCCCCTTTCTTCACCATGGATCATCTGTACAAAAACATAGTTTAAATCGAAACCATAAATATTGTATAAAACCTCGCCAAGATCAGCTGAGCGGAGTCAGCACACTGACAACCACCTTTGCGTTGATAGACGCGTTTGTTTTCTTTCATGAAAATTAAAATAAAAGGTTAAGCAATAACATGCTGACAGAAATAGCACCATACTATATCTCAAGTTTTTCCCCGATCCATAGACACAAAACTTATCAAGCTGTTTGCGTACCAGGGTTAAACCTAAAAGATTATCGTAAATATTGTCCAATGACAGGAAATGAGAGCCATATGTGCGACAAGATCCTTTCCCTCGAGTAGATTTTTTCGTATCGTTTTAATTTAAATAGCTTACATATCTTCTTTATAGTCTTGCGAGATGCGATTATCGTTTACTTGGGTGTCAGTGCACTGAAATGACATTGCCAAATGAACACACACGCGCACACAACCCTTTATGGCCAAAGGCACTGGAGCAAACATTGCGTTGGAATAGGAAAGGTTGTGCCTTTGTACAACATGTGCTGGCATCCGCTGTTGTGGCAGCTGTCCGAGTGCTGGGTGAGATTGGCCAGTGGGTGTGCACCAGGCACCGTACTGGCTCCAATCCCTCGGTCCCAAAGGACAACGAGACTCCCACATGGGAGCCACTCCTATCTCTCTCTTTCTCTCGTTTGGCTGCTGTCGATTGAGAGCAACAACTACGATTTCACGTTCAGGTGGTCAAGCCAGACAAACGTGTCAGGAGCAGCAGAAGTGGATCGCTGCGATGTCTCCTTGTCCCAGGGCCTATCTGGCGTTTTGTTTGGCCCTGAAGATGGTCATTGGCGTGGCTTGTGTTGTTGTTGTTGCTCTGGAGACCGGGAGATCGCTGATCGATGTTCGGTATTCGTCGTGATTTCGCACTTAACAGTGGGGTGCTTGAAGGCTGCCATCTTCCACTCCCATGACCCAGCAAGATGCTCGGAGACCTTAGCACCTTCCACGCCACCACTCCCATGAGCCAGCAAGATGCTCGGAGATCTTAGCACCTACCACACCACCACTCCCATGAGCCAGCAAGATGCTCGGAGATCTTAGCACCTTCCACACCACCACTCCCATGACCCAACATGATGCTCGGATAACCTTAGCACCCATGCACACCAGGGGACACACTGGCACGGTTACAAATGGTGCAGTTAGAACACAAATTGTAAGTATTTTTTCACTAAACTGCGGTAACCCCTGAGAGTAACGTGGATTTATTTCCCCCCCTCAGGGCTGCGTGTTGTTTTTACAACGACGCTTTAAGGGAGAGTTTTGTGCTCCTGTTTTGAGTCACACTGAGTTGGGCTTTTGCACCACCTTGCACCGGACTTCAAAAGAGGCCACTGACATTTAAGGGTAGCTCGTTTGGATCATTAATTTTCAATAAAGATTTACTGTCATGATTTTATTATATGATCAATAAATAGGAAAACCCATGTAATCTTAAAGCACGATGCAATCACTTCAGGGTAAATGCTGAAGTTGTACAAAACAACTTTTCTATCTGGATTTTTTTATAATTAACAAAGCGAAACATTTAACGACGTCTTCAGTTATCTTTAATGCGACATGCAGAGACATGAGCAAATGATATGCGTGCTTAGCGAGTACAATAGAGGTTTTTTTGTAACTCATTTATATGAGTGGACTCCATGTTATGATCTGATAAATGCTATCTGTGGTACATTCTACCCATATTTGTGTTCTCACACTATGGAAACCACAGTTATACTTTAGTAAAATTAAATATTTCTCTTCTTGGTTCTTTCGGTAAAGTCACGTAGAAAGGAAATAATAAAATAATAAAAATAAAACATAATAAAATACAATTCTCACGACGTTTCGGCCACAACGCAAGTGGCCGAAACGTCGTGAGAATTATTTTATTATGTTTTATTATTATTATTTCCCTTCTACGTGACTTTACCGAAAGAACCAAGAAGATGAATCCCTGCAGTCACGAAAGCTTTAAATCGAAATTAAAATTTTCTCTCTCTTATTTATTCTACATGTTTTTTTCATCCTGGTCATGCTCTTGGCATCATGTCTCACAGAGCAGCACAATCCTTCATGTCAGAGAATAACCCACAGAAGTGGACACCACAGAGCTGTCTCTGAATTATCTTCAAGTCATCTCCCTTCCACAGGGTTGGGTAGCAGTACTTACCCACTCCTCTTGTCACTGTGAGTAATCTAGACTCTAATTGTATGTGATGGGTTCTTGTGTGCCTTTATTGGTGACCCTAGACCATAATAAGCATGTTATATCTTGAGAACCCGATTTAAACATTGAGCACTGCCTCGAATCAAAGCCCGGATTCCAACGGGGCCAGCTGAGCAACTCTGAAGTTTGACATCAGCTGACATGCTTCTGCGATGTTGTCTTTAACTTTCAGTGGGCTTTGCATGCACATGTTAAATTTGCACATCATTGAGGGGAGTTCTAGAAAAACATGAAAAGTCACATATACGTTGTAAGAAAACGAAAGATAATTTCAATGGAAGACTTACAATACACCTTTGATAGCTGTTTTTGTATCATGTCCCCTTAGTTGGCTACACAATTAACTTAATAATTCACTTTTTTTCCATCCACTTAACCCCCACCGTACTCTCATCATAAGCCTCCTTTCTGGATAATGAGAGTTTGTGGGTATGACCGGTTTTAAAAGACACCCCTAAATTATAGGTTGTCATCTATTTAACAATTAAGCACTGCATTAATTTTCTTCACTTTCTTCTTTTGTGTGGTGTTTGAAAAGAGCAGCAGTCTAGAAATCGTATGCTTAAATGTTGTGAGACATTCCACGGCATCCGAGGTGTTGGCTGAGTGGAGTCTGCGTGCTCCACCAGAATACGTGTGTTGTATTAAAAGTATTTTTGTTATATTACCAGGTAGGGCCCACTGAGATATATAGCTATTTTTCAGAAGTGACCTGGCCACAAATGATAGCCCTATGATGTGGCTTATCATGTGGAAATGTATTGCAGCCATATACTCTCAACACATATTTATAAATAAATGTGAAGGGAAAACCCGGAGCTCCCGGAGAAAAATACACGCGACCATAGAGAGAACATGCAAACTCCAAATATACAAGCATCAGGGTCGGGGATCAAACCCATGACCTCCCGTATACCAGGCGCAGTAGTCAATATCTCGCCACACCGCGGCACCCCAGAGTGGAGTCCGCTTGTTCTACCTGAACACGCGGGGCAGTCATCAGTGATGGTTTGCATCTCACCACATTTGCAGTTTGGTAAGTCCTCGATCTTCCATTTATGGAGGCAAAATCCAGATATTTAATTTGTTGTTGGACACGGTTGAGATTGGTCCCCACTGTCGTCAGGGCAAAGATAAAGCAGGTTGTTCACACACACTGTAATACTGTGATATATTGGAAGATTTACGATTTTATCTTACATGGCTACTACTGCTCAGCAAGGCCTCAAGCTATTTTTTGAGCAAATCGGTCTGGGAACATTTCTTTGTTTGGTGTCACATTACAACCTGCAAAAAAAACAACAGTTGGAATTCCAAGTATTTTATCGAATTGGCCAAATGGTAAAGAAACTGATGCACACATAGACGTCTGCAAGCTGTCAGACATGTTCACGACTGAATTAAATGTAAGGTTACACCTAAATCCACAACGGTGTACAATATCATTAGCTTCTTTGCAGCTGAACAATGATTGTCATATAAATAAATAAAAATATTCAGCGACTGCATTGGCAGTGGTACATGATTGACGTTAAAAAAAACCTCACCACACTCATTACCCCACTGCCTTACAACAGAAAAAATATATAATAGGATGACAATGTGGACAGCTGCCCTTTCTAAAGGGGTATTGTCCATTCTTTAATTGAAGGGAGATTGCCTGAAACATTTACCTATTTACATCGTTCTGCCTAAGGCGGTGCTAATAATTGTTATTACACTTGTTTACCCAGGAAAGCCTCATTGAGTCGCATTACTCGTTTTCAGAATAGTCCTGCCAATTTTATTTTGCAGTCGGGGGCGACGATTGCGATGTAGATTCCAATTGAGTCGTTTACGGGTCGTGTACATTTTTTTGCGTTTGGAAACATTTTTATGAACTATAAAAAAAAAAATCAGCCAAGGCCCACTGAGCTACATAGCTGCTTTTCAAAAGCGACTTGGCCACAAATGATAGCTCAACGAAGTGACATCATGTGGAAATGTATAGCAGTCAAATACTCGAAAATCATGCCTCTAAATGTGGAGGGAAAACCGAAGGACCAGGAGAAAAGTCCCCCGACAACGGGGAGAACATGCAAACTCCAAATATGTAGGCGTCAGGGTATTCATATCATAAATCAAGGCATTAGATGCTAAATTGTATACAATCCAACTAAGCTATTTTTAAAAAAACGTTACAATGGTATGTGCTATATATGTCCTAACCATATTAAGCGCTCATGAAAATGTGTTGGATTTAATAAGTAAAACCTCCTAAAATATAAATTATAAATCTAATTTTTTTAAATGTTTTATGAGCATAGGAATTCATATGAGTTGTACTTTACTTTTAGCCACTTTTCCTATCACCCTTTTCATCCATTCCCACAACTTGTATTCGCTCACTACTTATCTTAAATGTAAACATTTGTATAATGTGTTCTGAACTGCACTTTTACGTGGTGGTTCAGCTTTGAGCTCAAAACGTGTTTCCGTCACCTCCTGATCTTCGCGCAAACGCCTCCTCCCTTCCCAGCGGGCAGTTTGCAGTCGTGAAGAAATGCTGCGAGAAAAAGTCCGGCCTGGAGTTCGCTGCCAAGTTCATCAAGAAGCGACGGTCACGCAGCTCTCGACGGGGAGTGGTGCCCGAGGACATTAAGCGGGAAGTGAGCATCCTGAGCGAGCTGCGGCACCCCAACATCATCAGCCTGCACGAGGTGTACGAGAACGACACCGACGTGACCCTCATCCTCGAGCTGTGAGTCATCTGATTCTGTGTTTATGTCTCATACCGTTGTTGTAGGAGTAACCCGTGGGGCCCTGCCAGCGTTCGCAGTGGCCGTGCAGCGGGTTACACTCCCATTACTGTGTATACGGGGCGACGCAGAGGGTCATAAGCCTTAGTCGAGATTTCCAATCTCACCGCTGTCACAAGACAGAAGCCTCAATGTCAAGTGTAATGGCTGGGAGTCGGCCATTATCTGCCTTGGCATGGTAATCACAGCAGACCTATGGTATCCTTTGACGGCAAGGCGCAGTCCTGCATTAAAAACGAAAACTATTTTATTTTTTATTTTGGTTTAACACGTAGGCTTTCATGACCAACATTATTCATAATAAAGGTTTGGGGGTTTTGTTTACGTAACAAACCGTACTAGCTGTGTCGAGTGGTGAGGGTTACGACACATTTATACTTACACGATCTAACCCTAAAACCTTTATTATGAAGATTTGTTATTTTACTGGGTAAGGCCCTCTGAGCTATATAGCTATTTTTCTGAAGCCACCAGGCCACAAATGCTAGCTCAGCGAAGTGGCTTAAAAATGTGGCAATTTATAGCAGCCAAATGCTCTGAACACATGTTTCTAAATGTGGAGGGAAAAACCAGAGGACCTGGAGGAAAATCCACGTGACCACGGAAAGAACATGCACACTCCAAACATACAGGCATCAAGGTGGGGATCGAACCCACGACCTCCTGCATACCAGGCGAGGGAGTTAACATCTCGCCACTGTAGCAAGATGCCAATTTCTTGCCAATTGCTTGCTCATGCCACTGCTGGTGGAAGGGACTCCACTTGAGGAATCTCTCAAGGGTATCTTGGCCTACTCTTTCATGCTCATCATTTTAATTTGAGTTTAATTCTCATGCTGTTGGTGCATGTGAAATTTTACAAGTGCCCTTCAATTTTTTCTCAGAATGTGAAACACTAAAGTGCACTGATGATGTGGATACACCCACGGTATCTACTTGAAATGCCTTTAAATGCCAACTGGAGTTGCATTTTCCATTTTGCCAGACATTATCTGTTTTCAGACATTTTCTTGCATAGACAGTATACAATATATTTTATTCTATATGCCAAATTACATATGAGACTGGCATTTAGGAAATGACTTTTAATAAAGTCTATACTGTGTTTTCAGACTGGAATTTAGGAAATGACTTTTCATAAAGTTCACAGAAACATGGGTTTGCAGCATTCTTAATTGCTTTATGTGATTATATAAAATCGACACATGTAGCTGTAGCCTATTGTAAATCAAACTTTACCAGAGGGGAATTTGTTGTTTCGTGTCAGCTCATTGGTCCTCAGTACCCATAGCTACCCCAAGTAAAACAGAGCATATGTTTCAGGCGCTTTCATTTGTTACTGATGACATTAATTATTAACCTCGACAACATTTATTGAGCCTCATTGGCTTTGGGAATTTTAATTACATGGATAAATGAACAAAATACTTTTTTTCTTGGCATCCAAATGATAGTGTTGCAGGGCATCTAGACTGGACATACTACAACAAAAAACCTCCCTTGGGGTGCTTCGATGTATCTTATGCAACGACAAGGAATAGCAGCTGATATCTGGAGCATCATATGCTACTAAGTAGGCAATTCCCAACAGGCATAACATGCAGAATATAACATAAATAATCGCAATTCAATGAAATAAGTATAAATACATAAATTATGTTTTATAGCCTCACATTTTTCCCATTGAAGCATTGAACTCACCTTTGTGAGGACAGATGGCTTTGCCTGTTCATGTAACAGGGTTTTAACAGCACTAAAATATTGATAGAATACAATAAACCCATTGTCATTAAAAATCCTTTTTGGACGTGTTACTTAATGATACAATTTTCTTAAATGCTCCAGTTGGTAAACTGCAGCGCTTGTATAATAATTTCAGTATTGTTATAATTATTATCGTAACCCTTACAATTATTTAGAGTCCTTTGTTCAGTCGACTGCTGGATGATGGTTATCCCACATCACTTCTGACATGTGGATTGTATGACCATGCTTCATCATGCCGGTCGGTGCTGGTTGGTAAAGTTTGGTGGGTGGCAGTGGCAGGGCAAATTCAGATATCACTCACCACTGACGTATCTGCAAATACACAACGCCGATGAAGTATAATGTATTTGTTTTAGCACAGTGTTGATGAAGGAACAGTCATCTCTTGCGACCGCCTGCTCATCTGGCCATCGTGTATCGAGCATTTCAGTGTTTGTCACCGGCACCAGTTTACTAGATCCACTGTCATCTCACTTACAGGAATCGCGTAGAACAAACACATTTTCAATATCGCTTCTAAAAAAAATTAATCTATGATTTTGCCTTAATTTTTTTGTAAAAAAAAAATTCTGGCATGAATATTTCACAAATGTTTAGCATGTGCCTCTAAATGGCATGGGCATACACTCAATGAAAATGTGTCTTCCATAGTCCTGATTTCCTTGCACGCATTTGTTGGTCAACATTGCTGAAGCAGCTTAAGCATGAATTACTTTTGGTTGTTACAAATGTCAGGTGTTCTGTTATTTATCTGCGGCTTCTTAATACGTATTGACATTCTGGGCACTCATAGATATGCATGGCATACTGATGAGCCTGAATGAGAGTGAGGACACATCCATACACATCCATGTCTCTCACGCAGGCAACTGTTTAATGTGTTTCTCGAAGGCCTGCTGGAGGAATGATTGTGCAGTATTTCTGTCGGCGAGTGAACCTCATCTTTATTTGTTTATTTTAATCCTTTATATTAAGTTCGCTTGCTTGCGTGCTTGCGTGCTTGCTTGCTTGCTTACGACCGTGCAAATCTTTTGGTCGTTTTTTAACCCACTTCCCGTGATCCAATCGAGCTGACATTTTGCACACAGACTCGTTGTGCGTAACAATTTATTTTCGTGAAATTTTTTTTCAAAAATGTTCCACTTTTTAGGAATTTTTTTTTCATATTTAATTTAAAATACTAATGTGATAAAAATGAAACTCTTACTCAAGAAAAACGGAAATCAATAATAAAATAAAACCGATGCCACGCATATAAAGGATTTATAGTGAAAAACTTTGTTTTTACGGGTTAATTTTTTTTTATACTTTTGTAAACCTCACTGGAGCATTGATGGCATAATAGAATGTAACTTACATTTAAGTGTCCATCACTTCATTCACTTCGAAGTCGGATTTGAACTGGCGTGTCTTCTTGTCTATGAACACTGCCATAATCACGAGCCACAGGTGCAAAATCTCCAGTTGTCATGAACTCACAATGGGTGTATGGGCTGAAACGCCTTCACTGCATGTGGGTACATGTGCGGTCTTGCTCCCTGCTACATTGATCCACCCAGCAATTAGAAGGCAATGGGATGCAGAAAGCCACACTCCTCTTCTTCTATTACAGTGTCTGTTTTGCCAAGGGGTGTACTGCGGCCACTCATGCTGTAATGGCTCTTGAAATAAATTCACTCACTACCATGATCCTAATATTATTTCGCCTACTTAATTTTTTTGAGTGAAAACAAAGTGTGTGTTTATACCACACTGTAAGACGCTACCTCGTTTCAACCAACAATGTAATCGCACACGCATACATCCGATAACTGTGTTTAAATGATGGTGCAAACATTTTGATAAACCGAGCCCTTTTCTCACACATGCACAGTGTAAAGAGTTGTGGCCATCTGGACACCGGGGATGTGAAGGCTTGGAATTAAACCTCCCTGCGAATTATAGCTTTCTCCACAGTTTAATTCGCCCTCTATTCAAAATAGGCTCTTAAAAGGCCGCACAACAACAGCTGCCCTTTGCCTGTAAGTGGCGGTGACCTCACCGGAGTGTGTGCCAAGATAAATGTGCCTTGCGACCATGTGAAGTGGCGAAGGTTTGTTGGCAGGTAGTAAAAGCTCGATTACGGGACAGACCCCAGTTTTTTTAATCCTTTATATTAAGTTCGCTTGCTTGCTTGCTTGCGTGCTTGCGTGCTTGCTTGCTTGCTTACGACCGTGCAAATCTTTCGGTCGTTTTTTAACCCACTTCCCGTGATCCAATCGAGCTGACATTTTGCACACAGACTCGTTGTGCGAGACAATTAATGTTCGTGAAATTTTTTCCCAAAAATGTTACACTGTTTAGGGAAAACAAAATAATTATTTAATTACCAATTGCTTAATACTGGCAGACAATCATCTGACCCATAGGTGGCAGCCATCTCAAGCCAGAGGACGAGAGGACTCTAGCCGCCACGAATATAAAGGATTTATAGTGACAAACTTTGTTTTTACGGGTTTACTTGTTTATATATAGGCAAACAAGCTACGTTAACTGGAAGATGTACTATCTGTGCCACCTACTATGCCACCTTCCCAAATGAATTATCATCATGATCAGCCATGATCCATCCACTGCCAGATGAATGCCTTCCCAAGCTGTTACGCCATCTCAACAATCCATCTCGCTCCTGCACATGAGCTGATTTCATCACTGTCACCTCTGCTGTGGACGTTCTCTCAGGCACGCTACCTCCTTTGGTGACATTCCATTGTTGGTCTCAACCACCAGCCATCGTCCCTTACAGCGACATGTCCTGCCTAAGCCAGTTAATGTCATATCTCTAATTTGCTTTTGTTCTCAATTCTATCTCTTCCCGTTTTTGTCTTTCAGTATAAATCATTGCGTGAACCTTTCAGATTATTTTACTTTGTTAGTAATCAACGCCTGTATGTATAATCATTATGTCACAACAGGTAATATACATGGATTTAATTAGTTCTTATTTTGGCACATTGGTGCATTGCTTTTGATTCGTTTTTTTTTTTAAACGGCACTCCAACCTGCTCTCATCTGCTTCTGTATTTCACCATTTTGATCCTGGACTGCCTTCAATAACTGCCCTAGGTATACACACTCTGATATGTTTTAGCAGTTGTGTCCCGTCGACAGGAAATACATTCAGTTGCTCAGCGAA